TCTCGTCAAAACGAGGGCCCAACACCACAGGATGGTTGGGAAAAAACAACGCGGCATTGGCACCCTCGCAGTCCCTGCGTCTCGCGAGGACACAGTGTTCCGCCCGGCGTGACATCGGGCAGGCTCCGCGCACAGCTGCCGGCGGCGACTTTGCGCAACGCGATGAGGCTCGGGCGCCGGAAACGGCGCGCGCGCAGCGGGGCTCCAGCGACGCAGCAAGGCCCCACGCGGCGGCGCAGACGGCTGGCTGGGCGCGCCGCAGAGGGGCGCGCGGTCACGTGGGGTCAGGCTGCATGACCGAGAGGAAAACTCATGCGTTTCTCTGGCACTTCCGGCGCAGCAGTCCTCCGCAGTCTTGCTGCGACGTCCAGGCGGTTCTCCGGGGAATGACAGTAGAACGCGCCCCGCACTGAACAGCGTCGCTCACCCTGCGGCGCGCCGCGCAGGTCCACCGCGGCAGCCCCCTCGCCGCGAACTTCCCCATCATCGGCCGCGGCGTCGCCCCGCGCGCCGAGCACGGCGGGCATTTGCAGCTCTCGCAGTAGAACTCGCACCCGTTCTTCAAGCGCTCTGGCGGCCTCGCCCCGCAACGCCCATCCTTTCCCCGGCGCCAGGGTGTAATTTTCATGTCCGCGCAGGCCGTGCAGATCACGTCCTTCGCGCTGCGGTGCTGCTTGAAAGAGGTCTCATCGGACTCCTCCTTCAGCTTCTGGGCCGCGCACTGCGCGCGCTTGAACAGGCGGACTTCCGACTGCGCGTCGAGGTGGAGCCGGCCCGGGGCGCGGCCGATGCAGGCGGCCAGGCGGCGCGGTTGAGGTCTCCCCGCGCCTTCAGATCGTTCGCTTCTCCGAGTCTGAAGTGCGCCAGCGATCTCCGCTGCCCGCACTTGCAGCGCTCGACGTACGCCCCTCTCGAGGAGAAGCGCGTGGAATGGGCAGGTTGCAAGCCTGCGCCAGCATGTCCGGCCTGCCCCTGCGCGCAGAGGGCGCACCTCCTCCACGCGCCCTGGCTGAGCACAGCCGCGGCGTGCTCCGCAGGATCGCTCGTTCTCATGCCACTTCCCGGGAAACTGCCCGCTTCCTTCCGTTGGTGGCAGCCGCCGCGCCGGAGAGTGGCGTCCACCAATTTCTTGGACGACCTGGAAGCCGCATCGTTCTCTGCCTTGGCCCAGCCGGCTCTCGTCTGTTCCGCCGTCATTTCCCCAGCTGTGAGCGAATGCAGGAGCCCTGGGCCCGTCTGGTGCCCCTGGCGGAACAGCATGGGGGAAAAAGGCTGGGTGGTGATCAAGTCGTCAGCCCTCCTAGCACGGCTGATGGCCACGTAGCCCGCGGGCACCATTGACGCATGGGGCGTCGCGCGCACGTCCAGGAGGTCGATGATGGCCCGTGGCAGAATGGTACCGGTGACGCAGTGGGCCGCGGCGGCAAAGTGCGGGACCACCGGGAACCCCGCGCGCTTCACCATGGCTTTGAAGCCGGGGCTGCGATCCCTTCACACCTCTTTCCGCTTCACTGGGAAGACACCAGCGGGCTGATTGCCAAAGCGGGGCGCCATGCTCCCTGCGATTTTCACCATGATCGCGTCGGGCACGCGCTGCAGGACCAGTTTTGGCTCGGTGCTCGCTCACCAGCTTCGAGTCGTCGGGGTGGAGGACCCAACCTGTCACGATCCCCCGGGAGGGTTTGCATGCTCCTGCTTCAGCATTCTCCGTGGTCGCGAACCGCGTTCGCATCCCTTCGAAGATCGGAAGCACGCCCGGGAGTCCGCTGACGAATTGTTTCGTGGCCTGCCCCCTCCCTCACGATGACAATGATTCAGCTCCCCGTCTCGGTCCGGACCACAGGAAGAAGACGACGCGGAAGAGGAGGAGGAGGCGGAGCCAAACTGATTGATTGTCGTATGGTTTTTTGAAAGATTTTAGCGTTCTCGCCTTTGTCGACTCTCAGAGGCCCCTGACCGTCCAAGAGGCGGCCAAGACGGCCCAAGAGGACCTCAAGAGAGCCCCAAGACGGCCCCGAGGCCACCAAGACAGCCTCCGCAGGAGCTGCACCGCGCGAGAGCGCCCCAAGAAGGCCCAAGACGCCCCCAAGAGGCCCCGAAGAAGCCCCCTGGTGGCCCCAAGAGGCCCCCAAGAAACCCCCAAGAAGGCCCCAATAGGCTCCAAAGAGGTCCCACAGCTGGACTGTACGTGGTCCTGACAAGCACCTCGCGAAGCGAAAAGAATCCACGTCCGGAAGTGACGTGTTAAGCATCCGCGTTTTCTGCGGATGCTACAACGCAACGAATCCAATGTATCCAAATATTGCACTGAAAAGGGTGGGGACGCATCCGCCGTCCCTCTTGAAAACGATGCGGCAGACCAGCGACGCAAACCCGCAAGGCAAACCACCCGACGCCCAGTCGCTACATGCTCTGGACGTGCACCCCGCGAGGCGAGAAAAATATTAATGTCCCATTTCGTCATACATTAATGTCGGAATACCTTAGCGCCGTAGTGTCTGAATGCCTAAACGCATGGATTTCTTAATGCCAAAATGCCATTACGTCTCAACGTCTTAATACCTCAATGTCGGAATGCCTTGATGCTTCCATGTCCTAATCCAATAATGCATGAATGTCTTAATGGCTTCATGCCCGAATGGTGTAATACAGTAATGTTTTAATGCCGTATTGCCGCACGTTCATAATGTTTCAATGTCTAAATGTCTTACCGTCTTAATGTATGAGCGCCTTACTGCAGCAATGCCTCATTGTCGTAATGTCTCAATGTCCTAATGTTATAATGTCGAAATGCCTTGATGCCTGAATGTCTGACTGTCTTGATGTCTGAATGTCTGATTGCCTGAATGTCGTAAATGGCTGTATGTATTTGTCGTAATGTCTTATTGCCATAATAGTTGAATGCCTTCATGTGTTCTAGTCCTGATGCCGTAAGGCCGCAATGTCTTCATGATTTAATGCCTTGATGTCTTAATGCCTTAATGGTTTAGTGTCTTAATGTCTTACTGCCTTAACGCCTGAATGTCCGAATGACGTAGTACATTAATGTTTTACTGTCTTAATGCCGCAATGCCAGAATGCAATAATTTCTGAATGTCTGAATGCCTTGATGCCGTGTTGTCTGCATGTCTTAATGTTTCAATGGTTGAATGTCGTAACGTCGTAATGACTTAATGGTTGAATGCATTAATGTCTTAATGTCGTAATGCATTAATGTCCTAATGGCTTCATGTCTCAATGTCTCAATGTCTGAATGTCGTAATGCCGTAATGCCTTAATGTCCTAATGCACCATATGCATTGACGCCTTCATGTCTGAATGCATTAATGTCTGAACGTGTCAATGTGTTAATGTCTGAATGTGGTCATGGCTGAACGTCTAAATGTGCAAATGTCGTAATGGCGTAATGCATTAATGCGTTATCTGACTGTCAGAGTGCCTGAATGCATCAATGCCTGAATGCACACATGTCTTAGTCCTTAATGGCTTAATGTCTCAGTGCGTAAATGTCGTAATGTAGTAATGCAGTAACGTCTGAATGTATCAATGCCGTGATGTCGTCATGCCACCATGAGTTATTATACCCACGGATGAATGGCATTTGTCGACTGACTGCCTTATGCTTTAATGCGTTAATGAATTCACGTAGTAATGTCTGAATGCCTTACTGTCGTATGATTTAATGTCTGTTTGTCTTAATGTAGATCTTGGTATCTGAATACATGAATATCATAACGCCTTAATGTCTTCCTTATTCATGTATTAATGACTTGACGACCTTGCGGGCCTTGACGAATACCGCAAGGCAATCTACAAAATCGTGCACCGTGCCAGCTACCACGAATGGACCGTCCACCGCTGGCCAACACAATAAGATTCCCACAGCGGCCCTTAGCGGGCACAGGGTCAATTGACGGCAATATCGACCATCACCAAGCAACCGGCAGACATTGCTATCACCCGCCGCATACCCAAGCAGGGATGGTCGGTCACCGAGCACAGGGAACAACTGCATCCTGCAGCGTCGACACAAGCCGAGAGCTCGGCCAACTCCGAACCCCTCCCCTTATGCTGGCTGCAGGACCCGTGGCACGGGCCACCCTCACTCTGAGGAGCACCAGCATCACTCCCGCCACTCCCAGCGTCACGCCTCCAGAGCTGCAGCTGCCCACTCGGAGCGCGGCCTCCCGCGCTCCTACCAAGTCTTCTCCACAGACAGCACCTCCACCTCTCAGATGGCTACCACCCTGTTCCAAACCTCTCATTTCTCCACCTGACCCAACCTGCACACTCACTGCCTACGGCACTGCCCACAGCAACATCAGCACCAGCACCACTCTCACGACGGGACCGTGCATACCTTCCTGACCTACTCAAGCGGCGGCACCTCCAGCGGCTTTCGACGACAGCCACCAGTAGCTCCCAAACCCTCTCCGCCTTGAAGGGGCTCACCATGACCCGCCATGCACGGCCCAGCCACTTGGTGGGTAGGGGGCCTTGGCGGGGCGGGGGCGGGCATGGACAGCACCGAGCGGGCGCACCTCTACACCTCAGACCTTTCCCTGTACCTCTACGCCCGCCAGTCCCTGGGCGTTTGTGTCAGGGGGGGGGGCGGCCGCGGCCGCCCTGCCTCCACCCCTTCCCCACCTCCAGGAGCGCGAGTGCAAGCTAGAACGGGAGGAGGTGCTCCCACCCCCCACTGGCCCGTCGGCCCGTCCGCCCCCCGCCCTTCCCCTTGGTGATCCACTCTGGGGGGGTCTGCGCGCTGGCTGGCGCCCCGCCTACCTACGCGTCCATTATTGTCCCTTCGCTCGTTCGGTCAGTCGGTTCGCCCCCTCTTCGGCATCCCCTTCCTCCCGTTGTCCCGCCGGCCCCATCAACGGCCGCACCGAGCCGTTTTCCCTCGTGTCCCCCCGCCCCGCCCAGTGGGGCGCGGCTGCACATGACCTCAGGACACGGGCTGCCAGCTTTGAGGCTTCGAGGTGGCGGCCGCCCCGCGCCTGCGTGCTGCCCCTGCCCGTGCCCCGTCGGCTGCAGCGCCGCGCCGACCGGCCCGCCCGCGGCCGCGGTGCTGGAGGAGGACGCCGAGGCGCCGTGCGCGGTCGGGCCTCCGGGCGGGCCACGAGCGGCGAACATGTCCATGCCCGCGCCCTCGCGGTCTCAGGTCCGAGTGCGGCGAGAGCATTGGATGAACCATTGAATGAGGGATCCAGGCCCTGGAAGCCGGTGGAGCTCCAATCGTGGATCGGCCATGGATAACACCGCCACCCTCATCTGAGAAGGAATCCGCCAGGGTCTGAAGTCTGCTGGGCACAATTCCTTAACCAACGCCCCCACCGTACATGGGGTCGGAGGATCGCGCGTCATCGCCGGTGCATCCGCGACGTCGGCGATGCATCGGCGCCGTCGGCGTTGAGAAATTCTGGCTCCGCATCGAGCCGCCTCGTCGATGCACCAGCGATGCGGCGCGATCCTCCGACACCATCTGCTCGGACCCCACCGGTCCACGAAGCCGCGGATACGGGTATGCTTTTCGCCCGCGAGCGGGGGCGAGGGATAAATAGAGGGAGGGAAGGAATGTTCCGAGGAGGAAAATGAACCGATACCGCTACCCTTGCCTTGTTTTCGCCTTTCTGGGTCTCCTGGGAGGCCCTCGTCGCCACGGCCCGATTCGTCTCGAAAGGCTGGTTAGAACGCACCCCAGGAGGTGGTCCAGGGAGTAGTGGTATCGGTATGTTTTGTCTCCCAGATATGCGCGAATATCCCGAAAAAACGTCCAAGGCTCTGTGAGCAGGAAGGGCTCGCGGGGTGGCGGCGTGAGCTTTGGCCACGCCGACTCGAGGAAACCGACAGGGACAAACCAAGAATCGGGGGGGCGACCCAGACAGGCGTGAGGAGGGATGGGCGGGGGGAGGGCGTGAGGAGGGCAGGGGAGGGAGGGGGACGGAAAGGAGGGGTCCTCTCGACTGCTCGGAGGTCCTCTCGACTGCTCAGAGGACGCTCTCATCAGATTTGCTCAGAAGTCATCTCTACTGCCCCGCCTCGCGGTGCTGGCGCTCATCTCGTCGCGAGGGTCAGGGTAAGGCCGCCACCGTCCCCCACCCAAGGGTTTCGCCATGGCCTCGGGATGCCGTCAGTCGACTTGAGGAGGGCAAGAAGAGGGATGGGGAAGATGGCCCCCCCCTCGCGCCCATTTCCATATGTCGGTAGAGCCGCTCTGTCCCTGAACAGCGGCTTGTGGAACCCCGTCTGGGGCAAGCCGCTAGCGCCGCCTTCGTGTGCCCACGGGTTGCTTTCCGAGGACGCGCCCGCGCTTGCAGCGCAAGGTGCGCTCGGGAACCTTTTCGGGCGACCGCGCGCCCCGCTGGGTGGAAACCTTCCTGCCTGTCTCTGGCGTCTGCCCACGCTAAACCAGGAGATGGCATCGCTCGCCTCTGGTAGCGAGTCTGAGAAGCAGCCGTGCGCTTTGGCAATGCGCCGCGCTTCATTTGCATGCGCGCCAACGTCGACATCGACGAACCTGCCACGCTTGCGCAAGTTTGCGGTATGGGATGGCACAGCGTGGCCGACGGCTGCTCTGTCGCAGAAGCCCCGACTTGGATCGGCGCACGCACGAGACTACTCCGAGTCGTGTCGACTATGTGTTCTGCAATGTCACGGCGCGCCACTTTGTGCAGGGTTGCGAGACCCTTACGAAGATGCCTGCGAATCGGCGCCTTGGCCTCCAAATTGCGCTCGACTTGGAGATGCCCTTCAAGCGTCCGAGCCAGCTGATGGTTCCTGTCCAGCTCCCGCCTGTAAGGCCTCTGCTCCCCGTTGACGAGCGCCGATCCGTCGGCGACCAGATCGAAGACGAGTGCCATGGCGAGTAACAGGCGGTCGGTGCAGCAGATTATGTCAACGAGGTGTTCGCCATCGCAAAATCGCGCGGCCGGCGAGAGTCATCGCCGCGCGGCTCAATATGCCGAACAGCCTGCGCCTCACGCACCCCCACAGCGGCGGCCAACTCTGCGCGGTTGCCTTGCGACCTGCGTGCAGGGTTAAGTACGCCGCACCCAGTGTGCAGGTTGCAGGCTCAGTCAGACACTGCGGACAAGCGTCGGCATTCGCGTGGGCGTGGCGCGACACCTGCCCGGCGTGCGGAGCGCATCGCCAAAGGCGCCCGCCCTGGTGCAGCGGTCGCGTAAGCCCTGCACTGCGCGCGTCGAGTGGCCCCCGCTGGCCAGGGCAGTCACCGACTGCCGCACTGGCTGGAGGCGGTGTGCACTCGCGAGGGCCGCTCAAGACACGATCCACCAGATCAAAGAGGTGGACGCAGAGAGCGGGGGCGGCCGACGGGTGGCAATGTGCAGTCCACTGGCGCCAGGCGCGTCGGCCGGAGGTCCCAAGCCCGCCTCGAGCGAGGGGTGCCGCGTCTCGTGAGAAACAAAAAGACATAGGCATAAACTGTCGGAGGTCCGCGCTGATTTCTTGGACTGGCGCTGGGCCCACCTCCCAGACGGGCGGAGCGCGCCAGGGGCGGCGCCGGAAGCGCCGCCAGGGGGCTCCAGCGCCGCCAGGGGGCTCTGAAAATGCTTGTTTATGGCACCGTTTGTTCCCCGAGTCTCTGCATGGCCACGGCACCAGCCCCGCGTTCTCGTAGGACCCCGAGCGGATCTCCAAGCTCGTGGCATTGACGGGTACGGGCTGGACCACGGCCAGCTTGCATAGCGACTGGGAGCTCGCCCGTCATCTTGCAAGCAGCCGTACTGTAAGCGGCCATGCCAATGGCGACGAGGAAACCGTGCAGAAGGAAAATCGGCATGGCCATAAACATTCGGAGCTCCGCACGGGTTTCTTGGATCGGCGCTGGACCCCCCTTCCTGGCGCGCGGAGCGCGCCAGGGGCGGCGCCAGAGGCGCCGGATCCTAGATATCCGCGCAGACTTCCGAAAAATCATGTTTATGCCGTTCGGTAGGGGGAGAAATCCGCGAGGTACTTCATTTTGCCAGGTCAGATCTCGTCCAGGACGCTTCACGCGGTGGGAGGAAGACCTCGTCGCAATTTACAAAACAGAAGCAGTGGTCAACGTGGACATCTGCGGCAGATAATGTTGACCATTGGGCGTCCCTTGGACAAGATGTTGTCAGGATCGTTTTGAAGTGAGCCTCGTGTCACTGAGCACCAGACGCACGCTGCACGGTTTCATCGATGTCATTTGATGCTGTTGCCTCTGAACCCCTGAGAGGGCAAACCATCGCAATCACCATCACCATCACCAGTAGCATCACCATCATCATCATCATCATCAATAACAACAGCAAACGCAGCAGCACTTTCATCACAATCAGCATCATCATGGCCATCATCATCATCATCGCTAGTATCATCATCATCATCATCATCATCATCATCATCATGACCATCACCATCAAAAGAACCCTCCTTAGCATCATAATCATCATTAGCAGCATCATCATCACCATCACCATCGTCCTCAGCATTATAATCATCATCGCTACCACCACCACCGCCACCATCATCATCAGCATCGTCATCATCACCATCACCATCAACATCATCATCACTATCACCATTATAATCATCATCGCCACCACCATCATCATCATCGCCATCAACATCAGCATCGCCATCACCATCACCACCATCATCACCATCACCAACATCATGATCACTATCGCAACCACAACAACCGTCAGCATCATCACCACCATCATCACATGCAGCATCATCATCAGCAGCAGCATCACCATCACCACCACCACCATCATCATAGTCATCATTACCACCATCACCATCACCGTCAGCATCATCGTCATCATCAGCAACAGAGCCATCGCAACCATCACAACCACCACCATGATCATCATCATCCTCATCGTCATCATCACTACCACCATCACCAGCACCATCACCATCAGCATTAGCATCATCGTCATCATCAGCAGCATCACCATCGCAACCATCACAACCACCACCATGATCATCCTCACCAAACTCATCATCATCATCAGAGCCATCATCATCATGATCACCACCATCACCGTCACCATCACCATCACCATCACCAGCGGCATCACCATCGCAACCATCACAACCACCACCACCATGATCATCCTCATCGTCACCATCACCATCATCATCATCATCATCATCATCATATTCGTCATCATCATCATCACCACCATCACCATCACCACCATCATCACCATCAACATCAAAATCATCGCCATCATAATCATCATCATCACCATCATCAGCATCATCATCATCTGCAGCATCATCATCATCATCACCATCGCCATCACCAGCACCATCACCATTAGCATCAGCATAATCGCCATCATCAGCAGCATCACCATCGCAACCATCATCATCATCACCATCACCATCACCATCATCGTCATCATCAGCAACATCATCACCACCATCACCAGCACCATCACCATCACCATCAGTACCATCGTCACAACCAGCAGCATCACCATCGCAACCATCACAACCACCATGATCATTCTTACCATCATCATCACCATAATCGTCATCACCACCATCACCATCACCATCACCATCACCATCACCATCACCATCACCATCACCATCAGCAGCATCATCGTCATCAACAGCAGCATCCCCATCGAAAACATCACAACCACCACCATGACCATCCTCATCATTATCATCCGCACAATCGTCATCATCCTCGTCATCACCACAATCACCAGCACCATCACCATCACCACCAGTATCATCGCCATCATCATCATAATCATCATCATCATCACCACCATCACCATCACCATGGCCATCATTATCTGCATCATGGTCATCATCAGCAACATCACCATCGCAACCATCACAACCACCACCATGAGCATCCGTATCATGATCATCATAATCGTCATCATCGTCATCACCACCATCACCATCACCATCACCATCAGAAACATCGCCATCATCAGCACCATCACCCATCAGAAACATCGCAACCATCACAACCACCACCATGATCATCCTCATCATCATCACCACCATGATCATCCTTATCATCATCATCATCATGAACGTCAGCATCATCACCACTATCACCATCACCATCAGCATCAGCATCATCGTCATCATCAGCAGCATCACCATCGCAACCATCACAACTACCACTAGGATCATACTTACCATCATCATCAGCATAATCATTATCATCACCATCACCATCATCACCACCATCACCATCACCATCACCAAGAGCAGCATCGTCATCATCAGCAGCATCACCATCGCAACCATCACAACCACCACAACCATCACCATGATCATCCTTATCATCATAAGCATCATAATCATCGTCATCAGCAGCATCATCATCACCACCATCAGCATCACCATCACCATCATCATCAGCATCCTCGTCATCATCACCACCATCATCATCGCAATCATCACAACCACCACCATGATCATCCGTATCATCATCATCATCATCATCATCATCATCATCATCATCATAATCATCGTCATCATCGTCACCACCATCACCATCAGCATCAGCATCACCATCATCATCATCATCATCAGCAGCGTCACCACTACAACAATCACAACCACCACCTTGATCATCCTTATCATCATCAGCATCATCATCATAATCGTCATCATCGTCATCACCACCATCACCATCACCATCACCATCACCGTCAGCATCAGCCTCATCGTCATCATCAGCACCATCACCAACGCAACCATCACAACCACCACCATGAGCATCCTTATCATCATCATTGACATACTCATCATCAACACCATCTCCATCACCATCACCATCAGCATCAGCATCATCGTCATCATCAGCAGCATCACAATCACAACCATCGCGACCACCACCATGATCATCCTCATCAGCATCAGCATCAGCAGCACCATCGTCATCATCAGCAACATCACCATCGCAACCATCACAAGCACCACCATGATCATCCTCATCAGCATCATCATCACAATCGTCATCATCGTCATCACCACCATCACTATCACCATCACCATCAGCATGAGCAGCATCGTCATCATCAGCAGCATAACCATCGCAATCATCACAACCACCACAATGATCATCCTTATCATCATCATCATCATCATCATCGTCATAATCGTCATAATCGTCATCATCATCATCATCATTACCACAACCATCACCATCACCATCACAATCAGCATCAGCATCATTGTCATCATCAACAGCATCACCATCGTAACCATCACAACTACCACCATGACCATCCTCATCATCATCACCATCATCATCATCATCATCATCATCATCATCATCATCATCATCATCATCATCATAATCGTCATCATCATCATCACCATCGCCATCACCATCATCGTCATCATCAGCAACATCACCATCGCAACCATCACAACCACCACCATGATCATCAATATCATCATCATCACCATCATCATAATCGTCATCATCATCATCATCATTATCAACATCATCATCATCATAATCATCATCAGTATCAGCATCAGCATCAGCATCATCATCATCATCATCATGATCATGATAATCACCATCATCGTCGTCCCAGCGCCTGCAACGCGGGGTCCCCGGGCGCACATCTCCGGCGCAGCCGGCTGGCTCGGGGAGCGCGGGGCCTCGGCGCAGGTCGCGCGGGCGCGGCGCGCGCGCCCGCGCGGCGCGCGCCCGTGGGCCGCTCTCTCTCGACGTCAGCGTCGCTTGATGCTCTCGGCGTGGACGTCGGCGTGGGTGGGGCACACGCGAGTGTTCCGACTCTCCGGGCCCTGCAGGCAAAAAGGCAAACACAAGCAGCGCACCTTCTCCCCCCTCGGCAGCGACGGACCACCGGCTGGTCGGCAGCTGGCGGCATGCGATGGTGTGGCGAGCCGGCAGCTGGTCAGCCGGCCAGGCGCGAGGAGCAGGAAGGTGCTGGCCGAAGGGACCTGGGCCAGCATGAAGCGCGCGCTGGCCACGCCAGCGGGCGCCAGTACACTGGGCCAGCAGACCGGCAGCTACTGGACACACGCTGGGCCCAATCGAGACGGAGGTGTGTTCAAGGTCTGGAGCCCACGTTTGAATCATTCGCAATAACGCCCGTGACCGGCCCAGACCGACTGCCCCCCCCCCGCCCCCCCGGGTCACGTCCCCCCCCTTCCCCCTCCCCCACGGTCACGCCCGTTATCGCCAGGGGATACAAAAATGCTCTCGAGATCGGCGCAACTGCACCGCTTATGAAGCCGATGGCAAATTTCTCGGAGGAGGCCCGGCGCCCCATGCTCACACTCGAGGGATGGTCTGGGCCAGGAGCGGGCCCCAGGAATTGTATCGCGAGATGCGCCCGACAGCTGGAGCCCCATCAGAGGCGCAACTGCCACACCGAACGACCTTCTGAGGCCAGACTCGCTGCCACAAGGCAACGGCATGCGTTCCAGAAAGGGCCTTGCCTTCGAGGACCAAAGGAATTAGCATCCCTTCCCCAGCGGAAGACGGAAGGGCAGCGGAAGCCCGCGGAAGAAAAACGAGGGCGCCTCCTCCGGCGGAAACTGGCGGAAGGCGAAGGAAGGCGGTGGAAGCAAAAGATGCGTCCCAAAGAGATGGCAAAAATTCTAGGTTCAGGGTCTCCGATCAATGAGGAGAGAAGGCTGCTTGCGAACCCATCTAGATCTGAAGGCTCTGGCACAACAGATCTGCAGGCTCGGGCACAACCCACAGCCCCACAAACACACACACAAGCTGTACATCCAGCAGGACGCGTTGGCACGACAACCGTTTGAGGCCGCCGAAAAGTTCGAACATTGCAACACAGGGAAACAAACAGAATGTGGAAAGCAAGGCCTGAATTCTTGTTCCTGCGAAAACCACAGTCAAAACTTGCCACCAGCGCAATGCCGCGAATAAGGGTGCCGCAGAATCCGTCGACCAGGTCGGCGTTTGCGAAAGGTCTTGCCACCCGATCCTTCTCTTCTAGACCTCGAGGCTCTTCTCCCCCTCCCCGTGGCCACCTTGGACATTCCCTCCTCGGACACACGCAAGCTCAGGCAAAGTCGAGCCGTGCTGCAATCGAGCCGCAGGGGAGCCCCTCCTGGCTCATCCCTTCCCAGCTGGAGGGGGTCTCGGCCTTCGGCCAACTTCGGCCGACTCCCGTGCCTCATTCTGGCGCTTGCATCATTGCTGAGAGATCGGGATCGGCGGGACCAGCCGTGAGGCCAGTGACGTTCGGGACCGCGTCATACTAATTCTGGGATTGATACCAGTACTGTTCTGATGCTGCAAGCTCCTGTCATTGCTACAGCCACCTGTACTTCTGCTGCTCGCACGATCGCTGCTGCTGCTCCAACAGTCAGCAAAGTGGCACTCGCTGAAGGTGGGGAAACAAGAAGGTGCCGATACCGCTACTCCCCAGACCTCTCCCCGGGTGCGTTCTGACTAGGATTTCGATGCGAATCCAGCGGTGGCGACGAGGGCCTCGCAGGAGGCCCAAAAAGAGGGAAAACGAGGGAAGGGTAGCGGTATGGGTATCCTTTTCCTACTCTGGAAAAGTACGTCTCACCTGGTGCCGCGAACGCTCCCATGAGAAGACCGCACTCTCTGAGCCCGGAGCGGCCACCGAGGGCGAGCGGGGCTGCTGCAGGCCCGCCATGTGCGCCCAGGCGGCAGCCCCCCCCCCCCCCCCCAAGGGTGCAGCGCCCTGGCCAGCGTTTCAAGGGAGCGGTTCAGCGACGTCACCTGCACGGAAGCTTGCTTGACGCGCCTCCACGGCTGGCAGCCACAGCACAGATGGTGAATGGATGGAAGAGTCGAGGACGCAGAGATCGCTGAGGTGTCTGAAGCTCTGAATCATCGCCATGGCCCCCTTCGCGAAAACGCGATGCCGCGAAGGGCCTGGGGCGTCCAGCAAACTCCCTCTTGAACACTCTCACCGTGACAACGAATGCGGCCCAGAACGGACCAGGGCATAGAACTACATCCCTACTCGATACCTTTGGCTCGCCAATCAGAACGGTCACCAAAACGAGCCACAAAAGTAGACGCATATCGATCGGCAGCTACATGTGCACAAATGCTTTCGGTGGAAGTAGCGGCGATGTCGTACCGTGACAGCATGGTAAGGGGGATATCGAAGTTAGTAAAACGCTGCCAACCACCAACGCAACTCAAACAACCCATCGGGAGGGCCAGCTTCCTACGCGAATGGATGATAACAGTGATTCGCTTGCCCTGCTACGGCGGCTCCAGAGGTACGAAGCGCAGAGGCACGCATGGTAGCACGACCCGCAGCACCAGCACAGGAACCCCCAAAGAAACGGCAAGCAGCATGTAATCAATCTACCGAATAGTCAAGAAGAGGCAGGCGAGGCGGGTGGAGAAGCGGGGCCATACACAGTGCTGCAGCATGCTGGTGACGATGACGTGAACTCCCATCCATTCCCCCCTTCCTCCTCCTCCTTCTCCCCCCCCCCTTCTCTGCGGCCCTCCTGGCTAAAGACTGTTACCCGATGGGGGCGACCGCAGGCCCGAGCACATGGGCATGACAGCGCGCTAAAACAATCGAGAGCCCAAGGGCCCGAAATGTGTCTATGGGGAGCACGGGCACGACAACGCGCCACCAATCGAGGGCGAAGATCTGCCCTCCATGGGTGCACGAGGCGCTTGGAAGCTCGAGCCTGCAACTCTCGGGCACGGGGGTGGCGGACGGCGCGGGTGCACGTCGGATCGGCTGGCTGCGCGATGCCACCGCCGCTCGCCATGTCTCGAGCAGGGGATCGACTACAGAATCGATGTTTCCCAAATTCGATTTTTGTTTGTCGAATATACGAGGAATGCTCCACATGGTTGTTCTGTAGATGTACGAAACATTCTACGTGTTTTCGTGGCAGATTCGACGGCAAATAATCTGGGGAAAATCAATTATTTCGTCGATCTCCTACTCGAAATTCTCTGGGCGCACTCGCACCGCTTTGGGAGGGGGCACCGATCGGACTTCGCATATCGCGTTGAACGCGTGCGCGCGCGGGCCTGGGTTCTCGACGCGCCCGCGCTCTTCTCGGGGGCAAGAGCGGGGAACACGATGTTTTCAAGCCCCGCCCGGGCCCCAGATCTGGCCGACGCCGGCGCGCTCCCGCGATAACGCCAACCACGGTATCTCCAAGCTGATCTCGGTCGGCCGGAGTCTCGGCCGACGCCTGCGTGCCGCAGTGGGCGCTGGAGCAGGGCAGCTTCGGGGCATCAGTGCAGAAGGGCTTTCGCGAACGCTCCCTGACGCTCCAAGCGAGAGAGCGAAGTGCGACGTGGCCGAGGGCTCCAGGGGTGTGGTGGATTCGTTTTTTGCGCACTCATGTGAGATGAAGAAGGAGAAAAACTCGGACACGCGGAACCCAAGGAGCGAGCCGTCACACGAGCGTGAGCAAAGGGCGCCAGAAGTGCTGCGCAGCGTACCGCGGGGGCGGAACCTCAGCCAGCTCGGGCGCCGCCTCGCTGGTGCAGGCCCTGACGTGCCCGCAAAGAGCGCCGCGAGCCAGCGCGGCCCAGGACGACGCGGGTCCGCGCGGGCGCGCCGGCGAGACGGAGCGGGAAAAACAACGGTTTTGTCGGCGGCCACCTGAATCCGAGCAGCGACAGGGCAACGGTGGGACGCAAGGAAGCAAACTAAGTCGCGGACAGAAGAGGGGAAGACAGAAGGGACGCAACGCAGCGAAAGGGGGAGAGAAAGCGCGCCGCAGGAGGGCCCTCAGAGCGTGCAGCGGCACGGCAGGAGAGCCCTCGCAGCACAGCCGAGGGCAAAGGGCGCAGAGGCTCCCGTATGCCAGGGCGGGAAGGGTCGTGCCGCCCCGTCGCCGGCGCACAGCTGCAGCCCGAGCAGCTGGCCTGTTCCTGTACGAGGCGAGCTCACGTACAATCGTGGCACTGCCAGAAGGAACGCCCAGCAAGGAACGAAGGGGTTTCCCTGGCCACGGCGGGCCTCGTCCACGAATAAGCTCCCCGACCTGGACCTGAGGAGCGGACCGGAAACCCGAGCCCCTTCTGAGCCCAAAGTGGTCCTTATGTCAGCGCCTTGACTGTATAGAGGCGAAGTGCGTGGAGCCGCCGCGGGCCGAAGCGCGTCGCGCGCTGGCTGCCAGGACGCCGCCGCCTTCCCGCCCAGCGGCAGCCACGTCTCGCGCGCGCTGCCGACAGCCACCGCAGCCACGCATCGCCCCTTTCACCCACGCGTTGGGGCCCGTTCCCGCCGAACTCGCACGCTGGCGCCACTGCTCTCAAGGCTCTTTTAGGGCTGCGCCCACGGCTACGAGCCTGCTTCATTCGATCGACGTGCGGCTTGTCCACGCCCCAGCAGCACCCGCCATCATGGGTCGCGTCGCAGCGATTACAGAAGAGTTATCCTCAAGTCTGCCCGAAGTGTTGCTGCCCTCGCCGCCGACGTGGTCCACGTGCCGCACCCACACAGCACAGCCGAGGGTACCACTGCAGCAAACATTCGAGCCCACAACTGATTCGTAGCGCGGTGTTCTGATTCTGCGTCGCGAGCACCCTTGAGGCACAGCCGCCACCCTATGTCAGAGGACGCTTCCGCCCAGTGGGAGCACCATGATGCTGCCCCCTCCAACATGCACAGGAAATTGCGTAAGGACGCCTCTTCGGCTCACTACGTTGGAGATTCAGACCAGCTTCATCACGACAAACTGACGGATCTCCCAGCATGTCCCTCATCTGCGCTCGCGTAGCCCCAGTCAGAAGTATGTCACCCAAGAGCCGAACATTCGTGAGACGCCTGCATCTGGTCTTCTCACCGAAGCTTACTTTGTCCCACTTCTGCATGAACTCTCACACGAGGGGCCCTGAGGCCGAATTTCGCAGCGCCGAACTCATCAGTTGTACCCCTTTTCAGTCTGAAGGCGCTGCTCCTACGGCCAGGCAAGATTTGTGCACTGCCTGATCACATAGAACGTGCGCAACATTCGATCCCTCGTCCAAGCCCCGCGCAGCAGGGGCATGGCCCATGCATTGGGAAAGGGACGCAAGGCCAGATAACCCTCAATTCTAAACTTCTGAACTCCGCTTCCTCATCCTCCTCCTCCTCGTCGTCCTCCTCCTCCTCCTCATCATCATCAGCAGCATCATCAGCATCATCATCACTTTTCTCTCGCTCCGCCCTGGCGAGCGGTCTCCGCGTGCGCGTGCCGGCGCCTCCGCGCGCGGCGGCGGGGCAGACCTGCCGCCGTGCGCGAGGGGGCCGACGCGCCGCGCTCAGGAGGAAAACTCCTGGCCGCCGAAAGGCGGCGCAGCCGTGCAGGCCCTGGGGGGACAGAAGAGCTCAGTCCCCACAGCGCGCAGAAGGCAGCCGCGCAACGCGTGCGCCTCCAGCCTCAATGAGGCCGGGGGGCAGGGATGGGGGGATGAAACACTGCAGAGACCGCAGAAGGGGAGTCGCAGAGAATAAGAGGAGCATTCTCTCGCTCCGCCCTGGCGAGCGGTTTCGCGCGCGCGCGTGCCGGCGCCTCCGCGCGCGGCGGCGGGGCAGACCTGCCGCCGCGCGCGAGGGGGCCGACGCGCCGCGCTCAGGAGGAGAACTCCTGGCCGCCGAAAGGCGGTGCAGCCATACCTATGGTCAAAGCCGCTGCGAAGTGAAAAGGTTTTGGCGGGCGGCCGCGAGTTGGACTGACCATGCTGACGACCCAGCAAGCAGGAAAGAGGCAAACAAGCGACTGCTGCCAGAAGCGAAGAACAGCACCTGAGCCCTGGCGGCCGCGGAAGGAGACGCAAGAACTGTCGAGGCAGCAGCAGCAGCAGCAGCTTGAAGGTAGCGCTCAGCACGCGACGCTTGGCGCCACCTACCTCGCCAGAAGACGCATGGAGCGTCTTCTGTAGCTATTTAAAGTCAGTGGCACCTGACCCTCGAACACGACCAGGAGCCAAGTTAAGTCCAGCGGCGGCTTTGGCGAGCGAGACGCCCAACGCCAAAAACAAGTGGCCCCACCGAGCACAGAAACCGCTAGGCCCGAAAGGGGCGAGCGGATCAGTCTAACAGATGAGACTCGCAGCAGCAGCCCCGCGACGATGCCCGTCGACGGCGCGAGCTCCGCCCAACGGCGGCGCGGCGCCCTCGCTGGAGGCGCGCGCGCCAATCGAGAGAGCCACCTGGGATCGCCTGCGGAGCGGCCGCTGAGGCCTTCGGGGCGCCCGTGGCGCGGGCCTTCTCCCTGCGGTGCTGCAAAGGCATCGCTGGACTGGAGCGCGCCAATCGGCGGGGAAGGCGCCGCCTCGGACTCTGGAGTCGGCAAAACCTCCAGAGCGAGCGCGGGCGCCCGAAACCTGGGGCGCCGGTCGGGCGGCGGCGATGAGGCAGCCGCCCGCTTCGCCCCCTGCCCGCGCGAGCCCTGCGGCCCGCGGCGGGCGCGAGGGGCTGGCTCGCGCCAGGAGCCTTGACGAGAGCCGCTTTGGGGTCAGAGGTTCGCACGAAACTAGGCCTATCTCCCTCGCGGTTCGACTCGCGGTCCATGGTGTCCACGCGGCCCTTCGCCCCACCAGCAGCGGCGCGCTGAATTGGTGGGGCAAGGGGGGGCGGTCGCCGGGCACTGACACCGCTGCGGCAACGTTCGCGCGAACCGGCCCGTTGAGCAGTTCGGGCGACCCTGCTCAAGG